GGAATTTTAGAGTTAGGAGTGCTCTTGGAAGTATCCTCAGAAATCATCCCAGAATTCTGTTATAACTATCCGCAGAGATTATCTTTGCAGTTCACGGGATTTACATGGAATTCTCATCAGAGATCTCTTGAAAAAAATACAACGCTCGTATGTGTCAGTCTCAGGGCTGGGTTTTCACCTCCGCTTAAGCCATAAACCAGGTTTAACTATATGGGACCTCCCTTAGCTCAGTCGGTAAAGGTGCAGCTACAAAGCAAGACCACCAGTGGTGCCGGTGGTGTAGTGGTAAGCGTGATTACCTCTCACCCCAGCAGGCCTGGGTTCAATCCCAGTCGGCGCCGCCGGGATGTTCTGAGGCATAACATCTCTGATCACGTCTTCCTTCGGAAGGGAAGTAAAGCCGTTGGTCCCCGGTTCATGAGTTGATGGATCGATAGGTAGGGTTCAGGTGTGGGAGCTGCCTTCCTGGCGTCGGTACCATTGGTGCTCAGCACGGAAAATAAGATCGACGGAAAACAAATCAAAGAAAAAAAAAAGCAAGACCATGCTGAAGGTGGCTGGGTTCGATTCCCGGTCTGGTCCAGGAATTTTTTGGGTTGAAAAATTGTTCGGCTTCCCTGGGCATATAGAGTATGATTGTACTTGCCAAACAATTATACTATTGCTTATACAGGCATCGAAAGCTCTCAATTAATAACTGTGGAAGTTCATCTAGAACACTAAGTTGAGAGCACGCAATAAGCTAAAATGCGATAAGCATTAAACTTGAAGTGTGAAGAAGAAGAAGAAGAAGAAGAAGAAGAAGAAAAGGAAGAAGAAGAAGAAAGAGAGAACTATATGGATAAACCTGGTTTAGGATTTCAGCGGAGGTGAAGAAATCGGCCCTCAGAGCACTTAATTTTACATGAGACTTTCGTAGTCTGTACTTTGGTATTCTTCTCTGGAATGTCTTGGTGTCATTCCAAAAATGACCTTTGATTTTTTTTAAGTTCTTGATAATTCTTCAAAGACTTCTGAAAATCTAGCACAGATAAATACCCTTGAAAAGTTTCCTAGGTTTAGAATTTATTTTTGCAGATAGGAGGTATATTTACCAAATTTTTTTTATCGAAATTGAAGGCATTTCCCAGCATTTATCCTGGTGTTTCAAAAATCCTTGAATGTTTACGGTTTGATCACTGGTCATTCTGGTTAAAATTGTTGCATATTTTGTCATAACTACTGTAGACTTGCTTAGTGCCAAGTACTCAAATAAAAAATGGTGTTGATATTTTTCCATTTCACTCTACTTTAGTTGTGAAAAAGTGACTTTAGTGACTAATTTTAGGGAAATAGTGACTTTAGTGAGTTTTTGGTGTGAAAAGTGACTTGTTAGGGACTGACTTCAGAATAGTTACAAAGTCACTAAAAAGTGACCTGCTACCTGAACATCAAAACTCCAAAGAACTGTCATGTTTAAAGGAAAGGAGTATTCTCTCAGATTTATTAAAATCTATTTTATCTAAATTTGATGGCAAGCTGCATTTGCTGTGCCAAAAGCCCAAATATAACTACAATAACAAACTCATAGAACTGCTTATCTTTAAAAGGGTGTTTGGTTAAAAATGATGGCATTTGTAATGTGTGGCACTAAAAGAACAACTCATGTTTAAAAGTATAATTATTCTATCAAAAATATAAAATTTCTGATTTTTTTACCATCTTCATTTTCCCATCTTCATAATCTAAAAACAACAGAATTTTGTAAAGTTATAAGACAGACTCAGACTACAAAGTTTGGGATTTGGGAACTTAAAACTAATCCAAAACAAGTGTTTTTAAATACTTAGGAATCTAATAGTGTTCGCAAATCGTTTACCTTTTTTTCTAGAATTGGGTAAAACTTCATTCAGCTAAATGACCCGAGGCTCTGCCTTTGAACAAGTTTGACGTGCATTTTCTTTACTGTGATTTTTTTTCGAAGAAACGATTTTGGCATATTTTTTAAACAGTAAAAAAACCAATCTGATAGTGATTTCCAAAGTTATTCAAGTTTGGAGTTGTCTTTCCGTGACTCTCAACAAAACCCGTGTACTGAAGTTTTTACGGAGCTTCAGATGGTAGCAGCTCCGAAAACAAACTCCTCCACGTCTGACGTTCTTTCGTTTGCGACGACGTGACGGAGAAGCGAACCACAAGGGCTGATCCTGGGGACTCTTTTAGTGATATTTCATATTAGCTGAACCCGATCTGGATGATCAAAATGTGAAAATTACAAAAAGATAACAGATACAGGACTACAGGAAATTCTCCCTGAAGACACGGAATCACCAGGAATCAGGATGTATTCAAGGAGGGGCAACATGTTAATTCTGTTTAAACGTACCAGGTGGATATCATCCTGATTTAAGCAAGAAAGGTGGACCATGAAAGTACCAATAGCGCCTTGCAATTTCATTCTGTTGACATTGCTCATGGATTCATTTGGTGAGTTCGTTCCTACTTATTAACACTTGTGATTATGATGGTCAACAGTGTTGAACAAGTCACAAACAACTACAGAATCTGGTGAGAGGCTACCATTTATTTAATTTAAATATTTGTACAGTAGTCGTTTGATTCAGGCACGGTTCGATTTTAGCAACAAAATCACAAAACCGTTCGCTTTTGGCATGGGGTTTAATTTTGGCAACGTGCCAAGATTGAAAGAAATTCGAAAAAAAGGGTATTTTTGCTCCTTGTGATTACAACTTTTAATAAAAGATTTATTATTAGTAACGTTTATGCCAAGGCGATGCTTCGCAGTGGTCCGAAGTCAACCAAATCATAAATTGAATTTCAAAATAAGACCGTTCGATTTTGGCAACACTGAATTTTCGGGCTTGTTGCCAAAATTGAAGTGATTCCTCGTGGAAGTGCGGAGGATTTCCTGGCTTCCATCAAAGCGAGTGTCAATTCAACACATTTCTACCCATTCCTTTCTTGACCTGCGTTAGGGCGCGGCCGGCGTTGGTATTGCCTAGTTGAGATCACCAGTTTTTACGCATTGAGGATGATTGCTAGTCCCAAGCTTCAGGATTTTCCAGTAATCAAAGGATCACATTTTAGTCCTTGTTACTTTTTATGGCTTGATAAAAGTGACAAGACACGGGTAGTTCTGCATTTCTATATTGTATATTTCAAATCGAAAATATTGTTTATATTCATAGATTTCACATAATCCTTTTCCCTTTGTTCTTCTCCTTTTCCTTTCCCTCTTCTCTTTTCAGAAAGCGAGTGATGGCGCTATATCCATAAGTCATAAAAGGCTAGGACAAGAGTTAGTGCTCAGGTCCCAACCGTCAGAAGAAAATGGAGCATAACTTAACCTTTCTAGCTTTGATGCGTCCAACGACCAACCAATCATATAATTACCAAAATCGGAACGTACGGTACGCGATGTCCACGTTTCATCCATTTATTGGATTCTGAAGCATCGAGTTTAAATCTTCGATTTAAACAGGCCCGATGTTTTCTGAACCATCTTGCCCCTTAAATGCTGCACATTAGGCCTGGCCGTTTTGATATGTGTGACGCATCTTCGATGTGAAACATACATCAAATAGACAAGAAAAATAATGCAGGCATATATATCATTTTCCAGGATGCTTTCAAGAAATGGCTATGTTGGTGTTAGATTAGATTAGATTAGAAACTTCATTCAGCCAAATAACCCATTCGACTAAATGACCGAAAACCCATAGAAAAGAAATTGAATTTTAATCGTCATGTGAAATTTTCCTTCTTTACTAGCCAAGGTTGTCGATTCATAAGATATTGCAAAAACAAAAAATACTCTTAGTGTAAAAATACACCAAATGTAAGAACACTATAATTCGCAAAAAAAACATCAAAATTTTCCAACGGTGTATCCACAATTGGCGACGAACTTTTTTTTTTTTTTAGACAATCCGCTAACAATTCGCAGATGACTTCAATTTACTGCAAAAAAAAAAACGCAGTAATATGAAAGAAGTTAATCCTCAATTTCAAAAGTAAACTAAAAACTTTAAAGCTTCAGTAACAGACTCCAAAAGATGTTGAGAAATCTTTTTACGTCAGAATGCACCGTTAAAAAAAAAGAAGTGGACTATCGGTTTCCGATTCATGATGACCACGAAATGCTTCAAATAACAACACCTTTTCCACTTAAAGAATATATACAATCCTTGTAAAACGATTCCAAAAATAAAATTTTAATCATAAATATCAATAATTAAATAAGTTTAGATAATTCGAGCAAAAGTTTTGAATTATTGATTGACGATTTACTGACTAATTAAAATTCTACCTAAAATCACTGCTCAATTAATAATTTAACTTTATACTTGAGGTTCTGAAATCGATGATTTTTGCGTTTTTGTCCAGATAATACAATTTAAAAGTACAACTTAATTTTTCGTTTTAATTTCGATGCAAATCTGCGTAGATTTAATCCGGTTTTAATTGTACGATAGACATTCTATATTTAAGAGGATACTAACGATTTGAGACATTGTCAAACATATTTAACAGCCACAGTTCAAAAACATAATTTCGCCAACAGAAACCCGCTTCTAAAAATTAGCAATTTTTCAAATTTAAAGCGCAAAAATGTAATCTCCATTTGATGAGCTCTTCCAAATTTAATGCAATTAAAAATGCCCATCTCTTTAAAAATGTTAACAGTTTAACAGCCAAAAAACCACTAAAATCCAACAATCCAATTTTAATCAGCGTCCACTCATTTAATTTCCCCCAGTTTTCTACGCATTTTATCACACACAAAGCAAAGCTCACGTAACGTTACGTTACCAGAGCCATCGGTAAAGAAAACGACAACACACTAGGCACTGTTATTGTTCCGTTCCACGCGTCAGCTCCTCCGTTGTGCGGTGGAGTTTCATAACACCGTTGGTGATCTGTGTCGCACATATGTGGCTCAGAAAAGCCAATAGAAAAAAAAAAAACAAAAATCCCATTGCTAAACGAGTTCAACTTACATTTATTTCAGCCGCTCCGAAGCACGATGCTCATGTAGGTTCAATAAATCTCTTTGTTCCTTTCTCTCACTGCGTCGAAATCTCCTTCCTTCACCCGCCAAACCAACAGAAAACAAAAAGCAACACGAAATCACCAGAATCAATCACTCCGAGATTCCTTTCTCTTTCCTCAATTCGCTCAATTCTTCCGAACACAGAATTCTTCCACCCGTCACTCCATTCTCCGGCCAAAAGCACTTTTCAATCACTTTCGTTTTTTTTTTTACTTTGTCGAATTGCACCAACACCCACGCACTGGCGCGTTCGGGGGAAAAAAATCAAGACACACCTTCTTCAATTCACTTCCACTCGGGTTCTCCGTCGTTGTCCCTATCAAGAGAAAATACCTTCAATCGCTCAATTCCGCCAAATCCAGCGTTTTCACTTAATCAAATTGTTATTCCTGTGCTTTTCTCTCGCGCTTTGCTTTGCTACCGATTTCGCTACTCTTCGTTTCTTTTATCGCTTCGGCGTGTTTAGGCTTTTCGAAAAATTTATTAATCTAATTTTCCACTAATTAGTAGCTTCCCATTGGGACTGGGGCTTGGGTGTGCGTCTTCGTCTGCCTACTACTACCACCGTTGGCATTTACTGCTGCCTGCTTACTGCTGAACACAAAAATCGAAAAATTCACGAATTACATAAAACCCTCCAACAGCGGCAGCGACGAGAAAGATCGAGGTGATCGCGCCCGCGCCGAAAACAATGCACGGCTGCAGCCTCCCAAAGGCCTCCAAAAACTTTGTCCGAGTTTTAATTGCTTCACTTCACTCGTTGCTTCTTCTTCTTCTTCGACTTCTTCTTGTTCGTCGTCTACTTTTGGTCAGTGGGGATTCACTTGTCTATAATTCGGTTAAGTAACGTTCGAGCTTCAAAGCTGTCGAAGTTTTCCTCGTCGCCACTTTGCGCAAAAAAATAAAATTGGGATTTATTTTTAGTTTTTGTTAGAGAAATTCCAGTTCGGATAGGGGGTGAAATTTTTGCAGTCTTGGCGTTTTCAAGTGTTTGTTGATGTTTGCTGGTTTCTAGGGGCGAGAGGAAAAAGCGATACTAGAGCTACCATGCGGGCAGTAAGTAACTTGTTTCGCGATCGGCGGTCAGCCTCAGCTGGTTTTGCTGGAACCTGCCGTCGTTCGTTCGTCGGTCCGTCGTCGTCGTCGTCGTCGTCGTTGTTGTTGGTGGGCAGAGCGTGTGCACTGCAAAAAAGCACGGCTTTATGTACGTTTGCTTTAGCTCTATGTTATTATTATTATTTTATTTTGCCTTCACTGGCCACGAAGAAAAAGTGCTCAACTTCACTTTTAATTGTAAGGCTTATTGCTGGCTGCTGCTGGCCAGGTTAGTTGGATAGCTAGAGCCAGCTTTGGAAAAATGTGCCACTCGTAGCGATCCGCGTTGATGGGTTTCCAGAGAGCTTACTTTACGGGGCAAAGAGGCAAAACATACACACTCACTTTGTTTTATTTATCGAAAAGCACCGTCGAGAGGAAAATCGATTCACTTTCTCCCTCTGGGGTTACCGCACGCAATTTCTTCACTCTAATCCAGTCCCCAGAACTTCACCTCAACTTGACTGTTCAAAGTTACGGTTCACTTTACACCCTGCTCAATCCTCAATAAAAAACGAACTGAAAACTTCACAAACTTTGGAGAACGAGAACCGCACAACACTGCACTGCTGATTGCACTGAAAGCTGTTGCAACTTGTTGTTGTACTTCCAGCAACAGCGCACTTCAAGAACCAGAACGAGCTTATCGGTGTGACGGTTAAACGCTAACTAATCCGAAAAAATCTGAACCCGAGCGGAGACACCTTCCTTCTTGGCCGCAGTTTTTTTTTTTAATTTCTGCGGAGGCAAGTCGCGCGAGATCGATTCGCGAACGCTCGCAACAGTCTACTAAGCGATCGGTTGGTCCGTCCGCGCGCGTGTTCCTTTCAGACGATGATCGCGTGCTCCAGCGACTCCTCTCCTCACACGTACACTTGGCACAACTACTACTTCAACCCGAATAGTAATGAGCAGTGACTGACTGCTGGGGGCGAGTAGTAGCTCGTCGTACGTAACTTCTGAGAGAATCGTTGGGGTCGACTGTTCTACGGCGGCGATGTCGCACGACGACGCTCAACGATCACTGCTGTAGCGTGCGAGCGTTCAGAGGTCACTGAGCACGATCTCCTGACTGACGGCGGACACCTCGTGCAACAAGCAGCCACCGATCGACGCAACAATCCCACTGAATATGAAACGAAAGGAAAAGCTCTTTTTTCGTCGATCGCGTAAGTTGAATTGCCGCCTCCGCCTTCGTGGTTGGAGCTCGCTGATGCTGGTTTGATATATGGAGCTAATGCAACGAGCGAGAGAGAAAAAAGAGCAGGAGAGAATATTTGTGGTGAACTTTGAGTGCGACAAAATTGGTTTCGATGGAAGTTGATTTGCCAACATGGATATCGATTCGTGTGAACGTTGACGAGTTTGACGGTGATATGTGGTGAGTGGCGAGCTGTGTGAGGTAATACCTGCAATGTGATCGTGATTTGCAGCCTGTAAAATGTGATAGTGATTGACCTAGCAGTGTTGGAAGAGCATTTCTTTAAAATTAAGGACCCTGTCCACAGAATGACCACATTATTGACGTAGAACGAAGAAAATAATTGTGTTACATTCAATGATAACGGTATTGCAGATTGATTTTGAAGCTTTTTTCTACACCCCCGCCCCTCCTCCCTTCAAAATCAAAGCAAAAAATAAAGCGATAATGCGTAATTTAAACCAACAAGCTGGATCTAGTTTGGTTAGCAATCATTAGTGGAAATGACACTGATGAAGACTGCACATTGTAACCCTTTTTTGCAGTTTTATTTAAGCATTCCGCTGACAATTCAATTGCATTACTTCATTAGTCGTTTTAAATGTGTGGCAAAATACGTTCCCAGTGCCAATGCTGCAACCAAAGATCACGTTGGAAATGCCTTAAGAGCACCATTTCTGTAGGCGAAGTTCTGGGAAACTTTTATAACTTCAACGAACTTCATAGATCATTGCGGAGCTTCAAGGAAATTCGTGGAAGTACAGAAAATTTAGATATAGTTCAGGAAAGTTTCATGAAGGCGCAGAAAATCCTGAAGAACTTTTTAAAACTTTGTAGAAGTCTATTGAGCTTTATGGAATTTAAGAAAACTTTGCTAAGGATCAGTGAACTTTATAAAAGAGAACTGTATAGAAGTTCAGTGAATTTTGTAAAAGTCCTTTGATCTTTGTAAAGCTTCATTAGCCTTTGTAGAAAATGCAAGGAACTTCGTTGAACATCAGGGACTGCTTCAGGTAAAGCCAAGTTCAATAAACTTCGTTTAAGGGCAAGGAAGAAAATAAACCACAAATTTAGAAATACAAAGAACTTTGTAGTAGTGCAGTGAACTTAGTAGCAGTTCGAGAAACTTCATAATGTTTGCATATAAAAAAAAATGGACAAAAATTGTCTTTTATTCATGGGTGAAGGTAAACACCCGCACTGACAAAATTACCTATGCAGCATCAATCATAGTAACCCATGAGTCAGCAGACAAAATTTGACAGCTCTATCAGTCGAACTCTAACCGTGATGGCAAAAACAGTGAAGCAACTCCGTTCAGAAGTGTGCGCGTTCAAATAACGGCACCCCACCACGTCGAAAACGGACATCGTGCGGCACTTTGTGAACGCCGGATACGCCCGTTCCGGCATCTACAACATCTTGGCACTATTAGACAACAATCAGAGCATCGAAAGAAAGCCCGTTTCCGGACGGCCGACGACCCTGAGCGACAAGAAGCTCCAAAGGATGTTGAAGAGGAAGACCGAGGGAAAAGTGGCTAGATCGTTGCGTGCGCTTGGTCGGGAGGTCGGTGCAACCGACCAAACAGGGAAAAAGTACCTGGCGAACATGAACATACATGTCAGGAAGCGGAAGTCACGTCCACTGGTTTCGGAGCAGCAGGCAATGACGCAGCGGCAGCGGCTGAATAAGATGGTCAACTCGTTTTTCCCGGCGAATCGCGACGTGACGGTGGTGATGGACGACGAGACCTATCTCACCCTGGATGGCAACGACTGGCAAGGCACTTCGTGTTTTACTTCCCCTACGAAGGAAGTGAGCTCTGAGGTGAAGTTCATTTCACACACCAAGTTCCCCAAGAAGGTGGCTGACAATCAGCAAGAAGGGGATGTCAAAGCATATCTTAGTCTTCGCTCTGGACTGGCCGTGAACAGGGAAATTTATAGTACGAAATGCCTGCCGGAAGTTGTATCGTTAATCAAGAAATACCGTAAGGGCGAAGACGCGGTGTTCTGGGCAGATCTGGCGTCGGCCCACTACTCGAAGCGATCGTTGGAGGAGATGGAGCGGCTGATTATCGATTTGGTACCCAAGTCGGCGAACGCCCCGTAACGTGGGTAGATCACCTTTTCGTGGTACGTTATGGGATGTAAGATCTACCACCGATTCCTAGTCCTTGCTACTTCAAACTAGGGGAACAGGATTTTTCAGTAGTCCAAGGAACACATCTTAGTCCTTGTTACTTTTATGCCTTGTTGCTAGTGACAAGACTCGGCTTTGTCTACCGAGGATGATCTTGAAACAAAGAAACAAAAATGAGTTAGTTGTCTTCATCTATGTGATTCCTAATCTTCTCTTCGTTGTTCCCTAGTTTGAAGTGGTTATGACTAGGGTTCTGATGCATGGTCATTATCGGTGTCATACCTTAATTTTGTTGCTAAGGAATCCAATTTTGACTGACAAAGGGGTGCGCCTTTGGAGGGTGTTTCAACACTCCGAAGGGTATAAATAGCGGGACCTTTCAGTTAGAGTTGGATCCTTACGATAAATGCAAGAGTGGCAACTGTAAAAAAAATCGAAAAATACTTCATCATTTCTCAATAGTGATGGAGTAATACGACATGCACTAAACTAAGGACACGGGATATACTACAATAGATCAATTTACTGGTCGCAGTAGTGTTAGGTCCCGAACAGAGGAAAAGTCGGCAAACCCGCCCAACGTCCCCCAGCTGCGTCCCATTGAGAATGTCTGGGCCAACCTGAAGCGTAAGATCTACTCCAACAATATTGTCGTGAAAACTGGAGAGGAATTGATAAATAAAACGAAGAAAGAACTTAAAAACATGCCTACACGCATGTTTTCGTCCACCATGGCGAATGTTCTGGTTAACTGCTGGAAGGCCGCTCGCAAAGGCGTAGATTTTTTTTGCAAGTAAGCTTAAATAATTACCTTCCATGGGAAATTTATCAAAAGAAATTATCTGTCTTAGCTTTTTTATCACCATCCGAAAAAAGTCAATTTTTTTTTAATGCAAACGTTATTGCGACTAAATGGTTACTTGGGTACTAATATGGCCGTCAGAATGGTTCATTGGTTGCGAAGTGAAATGTTTTGATTTTATCCGAACGTTACCTCAATTTTATATCACAGACAAACAGACACAACCCATTGAACATTTATCATTGTAAACCCTACCGCTATCTGTCGTATACACTGTGATGGGCAATACACTCAACAGATGGCGGTAGTGTGTAAACGTCAAATGCAAGGAAATTGATTATGTGTGCCACAAGTCGCGGTACTATCAACTAAAAAAACTCAGGCAGTTTTGATCTATCTGCAATCACTCTCTCATACTCGAAATGTGCCACGACCATATTGACACAACGACGCCCTACCCGAGCAGCACACTTCCACTAATATAAGTTGCAGCAACTTGTTTATGACTGAAATAAGTCGTATAGAAGTTTCCACAACCGATTAGAGACAAGCGTGCTACTAGGGTATTCGCTCTCTGACCAAAGCGCAGGGGTCAGGAACCTACCCAGATGTACAGGAATATTCATACAAAATGTTACGTATGTTTGAAAAAGTTCATAGATGCTCTGAAATCTTGTTAAAATTAATAGAGCTTCCCAACCAGATGGAAATATCAAGTATAGTCATTTATTTATTTATTTATATTTATTGTTAGAGAAATATCATGTATGTAACATAGCTTGTTAAGAAATAACTCTTTAGAGTAAATACTGAATTTGGTATAAGCAGAGCTTTTTAACACATTTTTGGGTAACATATTTATAGAGTATTCTTTTCTATTTTCGTCATCTATCGTCATCAGAATAATGAAATACTTATGAATAGTCAAGATTTGTTATCACTTAATTTTAACTAAGACGTTTGACAATCTTGGGTTAGGAGATACTCGCGTCTTTTCCATCTACTCTATCTCATTTCTTGAAGGAAGAGCAGCTGCAAGATAATGATGCAGCGCTTTGTAGCAACTTTGTTGCCAAATTAAAAAAAGGTTTTCTTAACTCTTGATGGGGTTTCTAGAGACGAATCAGCCAATGGCTGAAAGTCTCTTTAATATATAAACCTTACCTTATTTTACGAAAAACCGTTGTCAATTGTGATCATAATATTATGATTATGATTATGAATTGAGAAAGTCATGTTGAAGAAATATTTGATTCTATATTTATTTTGTTTGGGAGGTAGAGAGAGAGAGAGAGAGAGAGAAGATATTAATTAAATAACATGAAATGAGAGTACAACTAATCAGTAACACCTGGTAGATTACCTTTTCGCGGTGCGTTACTGGCAAGCGTTACTGGCATTAAGATCTACCGCCGAAGCCTAGTCCAAACTACTAGAAACGTCATTTTTCACCTGCTAGGAGGAATATATGAGAATGTGAGAAGCGAGAGAATATTATACGCTCACAGCAATTTTCGCGAGAGAAGCAGCAGCGATTAATTTTTTTCGGAGAGCATGAGCGGTAGATAAATCGTTTCTTTTTCAGTGAATTCTTGATGCCGATAATGATTTTTCAATTCTTTCATACACCTGGAAATTCACTTTCCACACGCAAACGATGATCCGAAATTT